ACTGAAATCACGAACATAGTTAATGACATAAGGCAAATGCCAGTACAAATAGTTCCCACAAATTCACTCACCACACCTAAAGAAATTATAAGCATTATCAAAAAGACACCCAGTAAAAGGGCTCCAGGACCTGATAATATCCAAAATATATTGCTAAAAAATTTATCAAAAAAAATTTGCGTACACTTACATTACATAGTCAACGCTATAATTAAACTCCAGTGGTATCCGGACGCATTTAAAGTTGCAAATGTGGTCCCGATACACAAAAAAGGTAAGAGCAGATCTGATATAGAAGGCTACCGCCCTATATCTCTTCTAAACGGCTTAGCCAAAATTACAGATCGTGTGCTGCTCACGAGGCTACACACTTACGAACAAGACACCACAATTATTCCGGCGGAACAGTACGGTTTCAAAGCCGGCCACAGCACGATTGCACAAATAATACGAATTGCACAACATGCAAAAGATGCATATAATCAAAATCAACAAACCGTATTAGTTGCAATCGATGCTGCAAAGGCGTTTGACACCGTCTGGACCGACGGCTTAATACACAAAATGTTTATGAATGATTACCCTGTTTTCATTGTAAAAACAATTCAAACATACCTACAGGACCGTAAATTCTACGTTAAAATTCACAATTCGCGTAGTGGACCATACACAGCGATGGCGGGAGTACCCCAAGGTTCGGTACTTGGCGCCGCATCTGTATACCATCATGACTCATGATTTTCCCATGGGACAAAATGGTATACAGACGGCCCTGTACGCCGACGACACTTGCGTGTATAAAATGTCACATACAGCTGAGATCGCGACCAGGAGACTGGACATCCACGTAAACAGAACGCTAGTACCATATTTCAACGCAAATAAAATCAAAATAAATGTGACTAAAACTGAAAGTATGGTTTTATCACACAAAACAAGGGACAAAATTATTACAAAACTTAAAGTACAAAATCAACAAATAGAAACCAAAAACTCCATGAGGTACTTAGGATTTATGCTAGACCGGAGGTTAACTTTCAAAAACCATATAGAGGAAAGAATTGCCAAAGCTACCGGAGCGCTAAAAACTTTATATCCGATGCTACATCGAAGAAGCGGTGTGACATCGGAAAATAAAGTATTACTTTATAAACAGGTACTACGGCCAATACTGTTATATGGATGTCCAGTCTACTGCTCAATGGCGAACATCCATTATAAAAAGCTTCAAATTTTTCAAAACAAGTGTCTGCGGCTGGCTTTAGGGTGTGACCGTTACGCTAGAATAATTGATATGCATGCGCAAGCATCCATGGAAACAGTGAAAGATCATGTCATGAGATTAGCAGAGGGCTTTTACGACAAATGTTTACCTCCAGAGCTTAAAAATCACATCACCTCTATTCATCAGGGGGATGGTATTCACAGAATCCATGGATGTCTGCATAAGGCACTATCAATTTACACACAGGATCAAAATTAAATTCAAAACGATAGACATACATCCTCCATAGCAGCGTAAACCCCACTGAATACTCAAATTACAACGTCGACTAGTTAGCAACTTTGGTCGGACGGACGACTGCACGGTGACGTCACAGCTCGGTGCGAAAATCTCGTGGCTTGCTGCGAATTTTGCATGGGACTGTGGTGGCGCTGTGTAGTCTTGTAATTTGAATTTTCATGCACATAAACTATACAAGACACACTTACAAACAAGGACAACCCTGTTTTTTACGAATGGTTTTTCAGGGAAACACAGACAAAATTAAATTCAAACAAAAATCCTCAACTATCCCATTATCGCCCTTGCAAGATCACCAAAATTGACTTATAATGTTGCTATTTCAACAAGGAGAAGTCATCCAGCCAAAATAGTAAATAATGACGGTTATCTACACGACCATGACATCGGTCTGGTCTCTACAGGAGGCCACAAAAGTGAATACTTCACCTCAGTTGAGAAGAAATCCTTTTATTTTGACGTAAATGATCTGTTATTATAAACATTGTGTACATATTGTAAATAAAAACCTTTTGAAATGAATGAATGACTTGCCAGAGACACGGGGTACCACTTGATTTGCATCCACGAGCGTGACACAATTCTTTAACAATTGAAGCCCTTGGTGTAAAAAGGATCCAAGCCACAATTTGTCGTGAAGTGACTGTTTTAGCTCAAAACATTTGTTAACGAGGATTTTACTAGCCACATACAAATTATTTTACCTCTAATCCGAAATATGTGCTATTTTTCGTAATATTTATATTTAAATAATGTTTCTAATTATATTTGACAGATTTAAAACAAATTAAAAATTTAATTTCCCAAAACTTACTTAATATGGCATGTAACCAACCTTATTACGCCAAGGTGTTCAATTTTTTCAATAATAAAAAAATTGTTTAATCCGGGCCCGACTTTTCCCTCGAATCTAACATAGATAGCACCATTCCGTCTTGCTTGGTTCTCGACCGTCAGATCAAAGACGCCGACACGGAGTTGTGGAGCTGTATTGTATAAGCTGTGATCAAAGTATGTGATTTTAGATATGATGTCTATGGACAAATCCCTTACCTGTGGCGCTGCAAGCAAACTTGTTACCATATTTCTTTAAAGAAACGGCAACTCTTAATTATCCTTCCTCCATGGCTTGAAATTACTAAACAAACCCGATCAATACGACTTGGGCATTTTTAATTTAGTAGATCTGACTTTACCAAGATATTTGATCATATTAATTCAAATCATATAAAATTTAACTTTGTCACTTTTGGCACTAAGCCCACGATATGTTAATTTTAATAAAAGTATATGGGTTTTTAAAATAAGTGAAATATTAATTTATTAATGTATATTTTTATCCCTTAAACTAAAAAAAAAAGTATGCTCAATAAAAATAAAATATAGATAGGCAACAGTATTTACGGGAAGATGTATAAGAAGCCTTCCAGAATGTGCCAGACTCAGGAAAACCCTACAGAGAGATAAGCAAGGATACATTAAATCTTTGAACAATCAACAAGGAGAACTCACAAACACAGAGGAGGAGGAGACTTTAGATTTACTACTAAAGTCACAATTTCCTGGATGTGAGATTATTCTTGACCAAGAGAATAAGAGTACTGAGGCACTAATTTCTAGGGCCTCAAAAACAAACTGGTCTCTTGCAAAAGTTAGGTAAAATCAATCAAAATATTCCATTTTATTAAAATACTAGCGGACCCGACAAACGTTGTTCTATATTAACTATGAATATTGATTTTAAATTGGTATAATTAACTAAAAAAATATTTCAGAAACAAAGTGTTTATTATTCTAATGCTTTTTTCTTTTTTCTGGAAAATAACAAACACAACAAAAAAAGAAAACATTTAAAAACTTCTAAAAATGTTATAACAACCGTTGAAAACGTTGAAACGTCTAGAAATGTTATAAAAAACGTTGAAAAACATTGTAAAACGTCTAAAAATGTTATAAAAAACATTAAAGAACGTTAACAAACTTCTAAAAACGTCAAAAACCGGTCAAAACCTTTGAAAACGTCGAAAAACGTCTAAAACTGTTAAAAAACATTAAAAATCGATGGAAAACGTTGAATAACGTCTAAAAATGTTATAAAATCCGTAGAAAATTGTTGAAACGTCTAAAAATGTTATAAAAAAATATTGAAAACGTTAAAAAAACATTGAAAAACGTCGAAAAACGTTTAAAAATGTTATAAAAAACATTGAAGTATGTTGAAAAACATTTAAAAGCGTTGAAAACGTCTAAAAGTGTTAAAAAACGTCGAAAACATCTAAAAATGTTATAAAAACCGTTGAAAACGTTGAAACTTCTAAAAATGTTATAAAAAACGTTGAAAAACATTGTAAAACGTCTAAATTTTTTTATAAAAAACATTAAAGAACGTTAAAAAACGTCTAAAACCGTCAAAAACCGGTCAAAACCATTCAAAACGTCTAAAACTGTTGAAAAACATTAAAAATCGTTGGAAAACGTTGAAGAACGTCTAAAAATATAATAAAAAAATGTTGAAAAACGTTAAAAAACATAAAAAAAACGTTTAAAAATGTTATAAAAAACATTGAAAAACGTATAAAAACGTCGAAAACGCCAAAAAAATGTCTAAAAATGTTATAAAGAACTGTAGAAAACATTTAAAAGCGACGAAAGCATCTAAAAGTGTTAAAAAAAACGTCGAAAACATCTAAAAAATTTATAAAAACCGTTGAAAACGTCGAAACGTCTAAAACTGTTATAAAGAACGTTGAAAAACATTGTAAAACGTCTAAAAATGTTATAAAAAAACATTAAAGAACGTTAAAAAACGTCTAAAAACGTCAAAAACCGGTAAAAACTATTGAAAACGTCGAAACACGTCTAAAACTGTTGAAAAACATTAAAAATCGATGGAAAACGTTGAAGAACGTCTAAAAATGTTATAAAATCCGTTGAATATCGTTGAAACGTCTAAAAATGTTATATAAAAAAAAATGTTGAAAAACGTTAAAAAACGTCGAAAAATGTTTAAAAGAAGTTATAAAAAACAATGAAGAACGTTAAAAAACGTCTAACAACATCAAAACCCATTGAAAACGTCAAAAAATGTTATAAAAAAACTGTGGAAAACATTTAGAAGCGTCGAAAACGTCTAAAACTGTTAAAAAAACGTTGAAAACATCAAAAAAAGTTATAAAAACGTCGAAACGTCTAAAAATGTTTTAAGACATTGTAAAACGTCTAAAAATGTTATAAAAACGTCAAAAACCGGTAAAAACCATTGAAAACGTCGAAAAACGTTGAAACCTGGATACCATAACACCTAAAAGTAGTTTGGGTAAGTGATTTGGTCTCAATCGTTTTTTCTTAACCGTTTTAATTATTATTTTTTTAAACTATTATTTAATAAAACAATATTGAAAGACATACAGTATATTTTTCTTTGCCTACTGGTTAGACTATCAACTGGTCCTACTTGCGGGAACGTATAGTATCCTAAATAAAACGCACATTGGGTTTAGTATTTTTAATAAGTTAGTCACCATAAAAAGTAAAAAAAATGAGCATGAGTTGGGCTTCAATTCGAGAATATAAATTACAAAAAAAAAACCTTTTACCATCCGTAATTCCTACAATTCATCTTTCCTTCCTTTCGTAGATTCTATATATTTCAATACGAACTCTTTCAGATCCTCGTGGGTCCGTTTTCCGGTATAATCCATAACGAATTTCCCGTTTTTGAACAGTTTCAAAGTCGGAAAACCGGATATATTGTATTCGTCGGAGATGGTCGGGTTTTCGGTGCAATCCACCATCGCCATACATTGCGGATAGCCTTTGGCGCTCAAGTCTTTCGCGGCTTTGAAATAGTCCGGTTTCATTTTGTTGCAGTAGCCGCACCACGGGGCGTAAAACATGACTAGGACTATGTCGTTTTTCTGTAGTTGTTGTTTGAAATTGCTGTCGGTTAGTTTTAATATTGACGGGTCTATTTGCCATTCGGGAGCCGGTTCGGGCGTGCTAAGAGGCGTCGGTGGGAGATCGGGTTCTTTCATGAACGACACGAATTCGGTAGCCTAAAAGGAATATATCAATTTTAGATTTTTTTCTATTATTTGCGATTCAATGGTTCAAACAAAAACCGTCACAAGTCAAAAAAAAAACAAAGAAAATGACATTTAAAAGCGTCTAAAACTGTTAAAAAACGTCGAAAACATCTAAAAATGTTATAAAAACCGTTGAAAAACGTCGAAACGTCTAAAAAAGTTTTGAAAAACGTTGAAAAACATTGTAAAACGTCTAAAAATGTTATAAAACAAACATTAAAGAACGTTAAAAAACGTCTAAAAACGTCAAAAACCGGTAAAAACCATTGAAAACGTCGAAAAACGTCTAAAAGTGTTGAAAAACATTAAAAATCGTTGAAAAACGTTGAAGAACGTCTAAAAATGTTATAAAATCCGTTGAAAATCGTTGAAACGTCTAAAAATGTTATAAAAAAAAAATGTTGAAAAACGTTAAATAACATTGAGAAATGTCGAAAAACGTTTAAAATTTTTATAAAAAAACTTTTAAAAACGTCAAAAACCATTGAAAACGTCAAAAAATGTCTAAAAATATAAAAAAAACTGTGGAAAACATTTAAAAGCGTCGAAAACGTCTAAAACTGTTAAAAAACGTCGAAAACATCTAAAAATGTTATAAAAACCGTTGAAACGTCTAAAAATGTTATAAAAAAACATTGTAAAACGTCTAAAAATGTTATAAAAAACCATTAAAGAACGTTAAAAAACGTCTAAAAACGTCAAAAACCGGTCAAAACCATTGAAAACGTCAAAAAACGTCTAAAATTGTTGAAAAACATTAAAAATCGTTGGAAAACGTTGAAGAACGTCTAAAAATGTTATCAAGTCCGTTGAAAATCGTTGAAACGTCTAAAAATATTATAAAAAAATGTTGAAAAACGTTAAAAAACGTTGAAAAATGTCGAAAAACGTTTAAATTTTTTATAAAAAACATTGAAAAACGTCTAAAATTGTTGAAAAACATTAAAAATCGTTGGAAAACGTTGAAGAACGTCTAAAAATGTTATCAAGTCCGTTGAAAATCGTTGAAACGTCTAAAAATATTATAAAAAAATGTTGAAAAACGTTAAAAAACGTTGAAAAATGTCGAAAAACGTTTAAATTTTTTATAAAAAACATTGAAAAACGTCTAAAATTGTTGAAAAACATTAAAAATCGTTGGAAAACGTTGAAGAACGTCTAAAAATGTTATCAAGTCCGTTGAAAATCGTTGAAACGTCTAAAAATATTATAAAAAAATGTTGAAAAACGTTAAAAAACGTTGAAAAATGTCGAAAAACGTTTAAATTTTTTATAAAAAAACATTAAAAAACGTCAAAAACCATTAAAAACGTCGAAAAACGTCAAAAAATGTCTAAAAATGTTATAAAAAAAACTGTGGAAAACATTTAAAAGCGTCGAAAACGTCTAGAACTGTTAAAAAAATGTCGAAAACATCTAAAAATGTTAAAAAAAAACCATTGAAAAACGTCAAAACGTCTAAAAATATTTTGAAAAACGTTAAAAAACATTGACAAACATCTAAAAATGTTATAAAAAAACATTAAATAACGTTAACAATACGTCTAAAAACGTCAAAAACCGGCCAAACCCATTGAAAACGTCGAAAAACGTCTAAAATTGTTGAAAAACATTAAAAATCGTTGGAAAACGTCTAAAAACAAAGAAAATTACATTTTTGGATACAATGGATGCAAAATATCATTCATCAAATAAAAATAACTTAAAGATGCCTGAAAATCATTTAAAATCTAGCCACAAACTGTGTCTAAAACTGACTCAATTCGAGTTATTTTCTGCAAAAACATCCAAATTTTTTACTAACTATGTAATGACTCGTTTTTATAATCATAATCGTTAATTTTAACAGCAAAATATTGAAGCTTTTAAATAAAAATAAAAATAATGATAATAGAGACTTACAAAATTTCAAAATGAAATTTCTGCAAACAATAGTATTTTAGTTGTGGCAGTATTTGATTGAGCCAAACATTTTTAATTAAAATTATCCATTACTAACAAATACATGATTAGAAAATTTGGAAAATGAATAAATATAAAAAATTAGAGATAATTAAAATATAGTCTATCAGCTTCCGGTACATTTGAACTACTAATTTGATTAATAATCTGACCAATCTAGTTTTAATAAAAATAATGTAATTTGTAATTAATACTGATTTTTAAGCGATACATTTAAACTACTAATGTTGCTTAAAAGATATATAAATATTAATAATGACAAATTTAAACTAATTTTTTTACATTTAATGGAAGTCAACCTCGTACATTTGAACTACTAACTTGATTAATAATTTGATCAATTTAGAACATCTAGATTAAAAAAATATGAATTTATACTTAATACTCATTTTTTTTAAGTAGTACATTTGAACTATTGATGTTCGTTAAAAGATATATCAATATTAAACATGATACATTTGAACTACTTTTTTCGAATTGTTTAAAATCATTTTTTTTTCTAATTCTAAGGATTTATAAATAAATTTATATTTAATGAATTTCAACTTCCAGTACATTTGAACTACTGATTTGATTAACAATCTGACCAATTTAGAATGTTTTAATTAAAAAAATACGTATTTGTAATTAATACTGATTTTTTTTAAGTGATATATTTGAACTACTGATGTTTATTAAGAGATATATAAATATTAAACATGACATATTTAAACTACTTTTAAAAACTTTAAAATCACTAATTTTTTTAGTTTGTAAGAATTTATATTTAAAGAAGTTCAACCTCGTACATTTGAACTACTAACTTGTTTAAGAATCTAATCAAAATAGAACATCTTGATTAAAAAAATGAATATTTATGCTTAATACCGATTTTGATTAAGCGATACATTTGAACTACTGATGTTAATGAATATAAATATCAAACATGATACTTTTAAACTACTGTTTTAAAAGCTTTAAAATCATTTATTTTTGTTTTAATTTGTAGGAGTAATTAATATTTAATGAAATTCAACCTCGTACATTTGAACTACTGAATTGATAAATAATCTGATCAATCTAGAACATCTAGATTCAAAAAAAAACAAATACGTATTTATACTTAATACAGATTTTATAAGCGATAAATTTGAACTACTGATGTTCGTTAAATGATATATACATTTTAAACATGATATATTTGAACTACTTTTTTCAACTTCTTTAAAATCATTTTTTTTCTAGTTCTAAGGATGTATAATTAATTTCATATACAGTTAATTAATTTTAACCTCAGGTACATTTGAACTACTGATTTGATTAACAATTTGACCAAACTAGAGTGTGTTAATTTAAAAAATATGTATATGTAATTAATACTGATTTTTAAGCGATATATTTAAACTACTAATGTTGCTTAAAAGATATATAAATATTAATAATGACAAATTTAAACTAATTTTTTTACATTTAATGGAAGTCAACCTCGTACATTTGAACTACTAACTTGATTAATAATTTGATCAATTTAGAACATCTAGATTAAAAAAATATGAATTTATACTTAATACTCATTTTTTTTAAGTAGTACATTTGAACTATTGATGTTCGTTAAAAGATATATCAATATTAAACATGATACATTTGAACTACTTTTTTCGAATTGTTTAAAATCATTTTTTTTTCTAATTCTAAGGATTTATAAATAAATTTATATTTAATGAATTTCAACTTCCAGTACATTTGAACTACTGATTTGATTAACAATCTGACCAATTTAGAATGTTTTAATTAAAAAAATACGTATTTGTAATTAATACTGATTTTTTTTAAGTGATATATTTGAACTACTGATGTTTATTAAGAGATATATAAATATTAAACATGACATATTTAAACTACTTTTAAAAACTTTAAAATCACTAATTTTTTTAGTTTGTAAGAATTTATATTTAAAGAAGTTCAACCTCGTACATTTGAACTACTAACTTGTTTAAGAATCTAATCAAAATAGAACATCTTGATTAAAGAAATGAATATTTATGCTTAATACCGATTTTGATTAAGCGATACATTTGAACTACTGATGTTAATGAATATAAATATCAAACATGATACTTTTAAACTACTGTTTTAAAAGCTTTAAAATCATTTATTTTTGTTTTAATTTGTAGGAGTAATTAATATTTAATGAAATTCAACCTCGTACATTTGAACTACTGAATTGATAAATAATCTGATCAATCTAGAACATCTAGATTCAAAAAAAAACAAATACGTATTTATACTTAATACAGATTTTATAAGCGATAAATTTGAACTACTGATGTTCGTTAAATGATATATACATTTTAAACATGATATATTTGAACTACTTTTTTCAACTTCTTTAAAATCATTTTTTTTTCTAGTTCTAAGGATGTATAATTAATTTCATATATAGTTAATTAATTTTAACCTCAGGTACATTTGAACTACTGATTTGATTAACAATTTGACCAATCTAGAGCGTGTTAATTTAAAAAATATGTATATGTAATTAATACTGATTTTTTTAAGCGATACATTTGAACTACTGATGTTAATGAATATAAATATCAAACATGATACTTTTAAACTACTGTTTTAAAAGCTTTAAAATCATTTATTTTTGTTTTAATTTGTAGGAGTAATTAATATTTAATGAAATTCAACCTCGTACATTTGAACTACTGAATTGATAAATAATCTGATCAATCTAGAACATCTAGATTCAAAAAAAAACAAATACGTATTTATACTTAATACAGATTTTATAAGCGATAAATTTGAACTACTGATGTTCGTTAAATGATATATACATTTTAAACATGATATATTTGAACTACTTTTTTCAACTTCTTTAAAATCATTTTTTTTTCTAGTTCTAAGGATGTATAATTAATTTCATATATAGTTAATTAATTTTAACCTCAGGTACATTTGAACTACTGATTTGATTAACAATTTGACCAATCTAGAGCGTGTTAATTTAAAAAATATGTATATGTAATTAATACTGATTTTTTTAAGCGATACATTTGAACTACTGATGTTCGTTAAATGATATATAAATAGTAAAAATGACACATTTAAACTACTTCTTTTAAAAGCTTTAGAATCATTTATTTTTTTTTATTTCCAAGAGTTTATATTTAATGAAATTCAAACTCGTACATTTGAACTTAATAATGCCGATTTTTAAGCGAAATTCATCCTGTGCTATATTTGAACTACTGATTTAATTAGCAGTCTTGAACGTCCAGATTTAAAAAATACATATTTATACCTAATACCGATTTTGTTAGAGCAATTCATGGAACTATTGACGTACGTAAAAAAATTAAAAAAAAAAATAGTAATTATGGTACATTTGAACTACTTTTTTCAAAGACATTAAAATCGCTTATTTTTTATTTCTATGGATTTATAGTCAATTTCGTTTATAATATATTTAATGATATTTAACCCTTGGTACATTAGAACTACTGACTGAATTAGCAATCTACCCAATTTTGAACGTTTAAAATAAAAACCTAGAAATGTATACATAAAACTGATTTTGTTAAAACGGTACATTTGAACTACTTTTTTTTAAAAGCTTCAAATTCACTTCTTTTTTAGTTTCAAGAATTTATAGTTAATTTCATATATATAAATAATGAAATTCAACCTTCGGTACATTTGAACTACTGAGTTAATTAACAATCTGATAATTTTGAATGTCTAGATTAACAAAATACGTATTTATACTTAATACAGATTTTGTTTAAGCAGTTTATTTGAACTGCTAATTAAAATCATCCAAATCCTCAAATGGACATTCAAAACAAGCGATTTTCGACTCTATTTAAGGGGCTGTAACCTGCTTTTTGTATTCGTGTGTTTCATAAAAATAATTGAAAATGTTGAGGTTATGTTGACATAAAATGACGAAAATATTGAAAATTTGAACACCTGCAAATATGTTTTTCTAGGAACTCGAAAACCATTATAAATGCATTCTTGTTGCTGTTTTTTAAATTTATACAACAAATTTTTCAGTTATTTTTCTATATTTTAGCTTACCGTTCGACCTCCCTTATAATCTTTCGTGTTCTTGTTGAAGTAGCTGAAATATTTTATCGTCGGATAGCCTGAAACATCGTTAGCGGTACAAACGGCGGGGTGGACTGTACAATCTACGGCTGCAAATTCAACTTTTGGATCGTCCTTAAATTCAGCAGCGGCCGACGTAAACTCTGGTTTAGCTCTTTTGCAGTGACCACACCCTAAAACGAAACTCCTACAATTGATATCTCGACTACCATTTTGATATAAATATGAGGAAATTAGAAACTTTTTGGGGAATTGAGAGGTTATGTTACACTTTTTCTCAAATATCTCGAATACGGTCCATTTTAAAGAAATTATATATGGAACCAAAATTTTAAAGAATTATATCACAAACAACTTTTAAATAAACAATTTTCATCAAAATTTGAATTTTTTATAGTAATGGCCAAATAATTTGTTTTTGTCCATTTTTAATTATTTATTATATCTATTAATTTTCGTAATTTTTATGGATTTTTATGAATTTTCTTGAATTTTTATGATTTTTAATGAATGTTTATGAATTGTTATAAATATTTTATGAATTTTTATAATTTCTATTAATGTTCTTGAATTTTTATGATTTTTAATGAATGTTTATGAATTTTTTATGATTTATTATGAATTTATTATGAATTTTTTTATGAATTTTTATAATTTCTATTAATTTTCATGAATTATTATGAATTTTTAATAATTTTTATGAATTTTTTTTATGAGTTTTTAAGAATTTTTATGAATTTTTAATGAATTTTTATGAAACTATGAATTTTCTTGAATTTTTATTTTTTTATAAATTTTTAAGGATTTTTATGTATTTTTTATCAGTTTCTTTATGAATTTTTATAATTTCTATTAATTTTCGTTAATTTTTTATGAGTTTTTTTTATGAATTTTTATGAATTTTCATGATTTTTATGAATTTTTATAATTTCTATTAATTTTCGTTAATTTTTTATGAGTTTTTTTTATGAATTTTTATGAATTTTCATGATTTTTATGAATTTTTAATAATTTTTATAATTTCTACTTTTTAATGAATTTTTATATCTATTAATTTTCGTTAATTCTTATGAATTTTTTATGAATTTTTATTAAATTTTAATAAATTTTATAAATTTTTACATCTATTAATTTTCGTTAATTTTTATGAATTTTTTATGAGTTTTATTATGAATTTTTATGAATTGTTATGAACTTTTAAGAAATTTTATGAATTTTTTATGAATTTTTATTAAATTTTAATAATTTTTATTAAATTTTTATAATAACTATTAATTTTCATTAATTCTTATGAATTTTCATAAATTTTTATGAATTTTTTTATGAATTTTTATGTATTTTTATGAATTTAAATCATTTTTATAATTTCTATTAATTTTCGTTGATTTTTATGAATTTTTAATGAATTTATATGAATTTTTATGAAACTTTATGAATTTTCTTGAATTTTTTATGAGTTTTTTTTTATGAATTTTCATGATTTTTATGAATTTTTAATATATTTTTTAATGAGTTTTTTATGAATTTTTATTTCTATTAATTTTCTTGAATTTATATGAATTTTCTTGAATTTTTAATAATTTTTATGAATTTTTTTTTGAGTTTTTTAAGAATTTTTATGAATTTTTTATGAATATTTATTAAATTTTAATAATTTTTATAATTTCTATTAAATTTCGTTGATTTTTATGAATTTTTATGAAACTTTATGAATTTTCTTGAATTTTTATGATTTTTTTATGAATTTTTAAGGATTTTTATGAATTTTTTATCAGTTTCTTTATGAATTTTTATAATTTCTATTAATTTTCGTTAATTCTTATGAATTTTAAAGAATTTTTATGAATTTTTATGTATTTTTATAAATTTTTATGAATTTTTAATAATTTTTATGAATTTTTATGAGTTTTGATCAATTGCTGGTACACTAACACGTATATTTATATATTCGAGTTAGGTTGAGCAAGTCGTTTAACCTAAATATATGTAAAACACAAAAAATAAAATCATTAACCAATAGAATATAAATTTTTTAAACCATATAATTATTTTGAATGTCACTAAAAAAACTTATAAATTAAAATCCACTATCATATTCACCTATATGACCAAAACATTTTTATTTATTTTTATTTTTCTATTTTTTTCGTTAATTTTTATGAACTCATGAATTTATATGAATTTTTTAATAATTTTTATGAATTTTAATGAATTCTTATGAATTTTTACTAATTTTTATTAATTATTAATTTTTATGAATTTTATTAGTTTTTATGAATTAATTTTTATAGTTTTTTTATTAATTTTCGTTAATATTTATGAATTTTTATGAATTTTATGATTTTTTATGAATTTTTTATGAATTTTTTATGAATTTTTTATGAATTTTTTATGAATTTTTTATGAATTTTAAAATTTACTAAAATCAACTATCATATTCACCTACATGGAGCATAAAACATGACCAAAACGTGTTTCTTCTTTTTCAAAAACTGCTTAAAAGATTCCTCGCTCAAATGCACGATATCGGTTTCTTCGTCCGCCCACGGTTGTTCGGGAGGCGGAGGCGGCGGGGGTTCCTTGGGTTCCCTCATGAATTCTATGATTTTAGGGGCATCGCGAACGTTGATGTCGAATTTCTGTTCGCCGAAAGAGAAATATATCACAGTGGGGTAGCCCTTTACGGAGAATCTGGAGGCGATTGTTGGTTCTTTCGTGGCATCCACGGCGGCCAGCATACCCGGTATCTAAAGAAAAAAGTATAACAATTTAAATATATATATATCTTTCTATCATTTCGACGTCCGTTCATAAAACAGTAATCTGGCGTCATCCAGATTACTGTTTTATGAACGGACGTCGAAATGATAGAAAGATGTATATATGTATATGTGAAAATAGTGACCTTCGACCTAATTAATGTTTCACACGCGTATTAGGTTACGAAACACAATTAAGGACGGACGCCTGTGTCAGTAAGTTTCAGTAAACAAAGAAAACACTTACAGTGCAAATTAGACAAAGACTATAAAAAAGAAAAAATAAAAAAAGTAGTTAGTTGTTAATTTGATTAAATGAAACTCACATTATTTTGTAAAAGTACTAAATAAATCTTTTAAAAAAAAAATCCTTAAAAAAATATATATTTATATCTTTCTATCATTTCGACGTCCGTTCATTAAACAGTAATCTGGCGTCATTCAGATTACTATTTTATGAACGGACGTCGAAATGATAGAATAATAATTTGAAGCACCCCTGTAAAAAAGAAAATATTTTGTTCTATTTATAAGTTAAAGTGGCAAGCCGAGGTAAGTAAATATTATATTTGAAATTTTAGTAAATAGTAAAGTGACGATAAGTGCAATATCTTTTTTTTATTGATTTTCATCGATTTTAATAGATTTTTAATGGATTTTTATTAATTTTTTACTGATTTTTATTGATTTTCATTGATTTTTATTTATTTTTAATGATTTTCATTAATTTTAATTGATTTTTATTAATTTTAATTGATTTTTATTAATTTTTTACTGATTTTTATTGATTTTCATTGATTTTTATTTCTTTTTTATTGATTTTTATTAATTTTTAATGATTTTCATTAATTTTAATTGATTTTTATTGATTTTTAGTAATTTTTATTGCTCTTTTATTAATTTTTATTGATTTTCATCGATTTTTATTAGATTTTAATAGATATTAATAGAGTTTAGAGTTTAGAGTTTAATAGATTTTAATAGATTTTAATAGATTTTAATAGATTTTAATAGATTTTAATAGATTTTAATAGATTTTAATAGATTTTAATAGATTTTAATAGATTTTAATAGATTTTAATAGATTTTAATAGATTTTAATAGATTTTAATAGATTTTAATAGATTTTAATAGATTTTAATAGATTTTAATAGATTTTAATAGATTTTAATAGATTTTAATAGATTTTAATAGATTTTAATAGATTTTAATAGATTTTAATAGATTTTAATAGATTTTAATAAATTTTAATAAATTTCAATGGGTTTTAATTGATTTTAATAGATTTCAATAAATTTCAATAGATTTTAATAGATTTTAATAGATTTTAATAGATTTTAATAGATTTCAATAGATTTTAATAGATTTTAATAAATTTTAATAGATTTTAATAGATTTTAATAGAATTTAATAGATTTTAATAAATTTTAATAGATTTTAATAGATTTTATTAGATTTTAATAGAGTTTAATAGATTTTAATAGATTTTAATAGATTTTAATAGATTTTAATAGATTTTTAATAGATTTTAATACATTTTAATAAATTTCAATAGATTTTATTAGATTTGAATAGATTTTAATAGATTTTAATAGATTTTAATAGATTTTAATAGATTTTAATAGATTTTAATAGATTTTAATAGATTTTAATAGATTTTAATAGATTTTAATAAATTTTAATAAATTTCAATAGATTTTAATTGATTTTAATAGATTTCAATAAATTTCAATAGATTTTATTAGATTTGAATAGATTTTAATAGATTTTAATTGATTTTAATACATTTCAATAAATTTCAATAGATTTTAATAGATTTTGATAGATTTTAATAGATTTTAATAGATTTTAATAGATTTTAATAGATTTTAATAGATTTTAATAGATTTTAATAGATTTTAATAGATTTTAATAGATTTTAATAGATTTTAATAGATTTTAATAAATTTTAATAGATTTTAATAGATTTTAATAGATTTTAATAGATTTTAATAGATTTTAATAGATTTTAATAGATTTTAATAGATTTTAATAGATTTTTAATAGATTTTAATAGATTTTAATAGATTTTAATAGATTTTAATAGATTTTAACAGATTTTAATAGATTTTAATAAATTTTAATAGATTTCAATATTTTAATAAATTTTAATAAATTTCAATAGATTTCAATAGAGCTTAATAGATTTCAATAAATTTTAATAGTTTTCAATAATTTTCAATAAATTTCAATAGATTTCAATAGATTTCAATAGATTTCAATAGATTTCAATAGATTTCAATAGATTTCAATAAATTTCAATAGATTTCAATAAATTTCAATAAATTTCAATAGATTTCAATAAATTTCAATAAATTTCAATAAATTTCAATAAATTTCAATAAATTTCAATAAATTTCAATAAATTTCAATAAATTTCAATAAATTTCAATAAATTTCAATACATTTCAATACATTTCAATAGATATCAATAAATTTCAATAAATTTCAATAGATTTCAATAGATTTCAATAGATTTCAATAGATTTCAATAGATTTCAATAGAATTCAATAGAATTCAATAGATATCAATAGATTTCAATAAATTTCAATAAATTTCAATAAATTTCAATAAATTTCAATAAATTTCAATAAATTTCAATAAATTTCAATAGATTTCAATAAATTTCAATAGATTTCAATAGATTTCAATAGATTTCAATAAATTTCAATAGATTTCAATAAATTTCAATAGATTTCAATAGATTTCAATAGATTTCAATAGATTTCAATAGATTTCAATAGATTTCAATAGATTTCAATAGATATCAATAGATTTCAATAAATTTCAATAAATTTCAATAAATTTCAATAAATTTCAATAAATTTCAATAAATTTCAATAAATTTCAATAAATTTCAATACATTTCAATAGATATCAATAAATTTCAATAAATTTCAATAGATTTCAATAGATTTCAATAGATTTCAATAGATTTCAATAGATTTCAATAGATTTCAATAGATTTCAATAGATTTCAATAGATTTCAATAGATTTCAATAGATTTCAATAGATTTCAATAGAATTCAATAGAATTCAATAGATATCAATAAATTTCAATAAATTTCAATAAATTTCAATAAATTTCAATAAATTTCAATAAATTTCAATAAATTTCAATAAATTTCAATAAATTTCAATAAATTTCAATAGATTTCAATAAATTTCAATAGATTTCAATAGATTTCAATAGATTTCAATAGATTTCAATAAATTTCAATAGATTTCAATAAATTTCAATAAATTTCAATAGATTTCAATAAATTTCAATAGATTTCAATAGATTTCAATAGATTTCAATAGATTTCAATAGATTTCAATAGATATCAATAGATTTCAATAAATTTCAATAAATTTCAATAAATTTCAATAAATTTCAATAAATTTCAATAAATTTCAATAAATTTCAATAAATTTCAATAAATTTCAATAAATTTCAATAAATTTCAATAAATTTCAATAAATTTCAATACATTTCAATAGATTTTAATAGATTCTAATAGATTTTTATCGCCTTTTTAACGATTTTCATCGATCTTTACTCACCCCTTCGTTTTTCATTCGAGCCGCGGCCGCCTCGTACTCCGGTTTCATCTTTTTACAATGACCGCACCAAGGGGCGTAAAACATGACCAACACAGATGCTTCCTCTTTGATAACCGGATCGAAGCTCGTGGTCGTCAAATGAACGACGTCGTTGTCCACGTCGGACCATTCGGGCTCCTTGATTCTCACCGGGGGCGCGGTAGGATTTCGCATAAACGATACCAAGCCGTTCTTTTTGTTTTCTCCTTCGTAAGTGAATTTCATGCGACCGTTTCTGAAAAGTAATCGTTATCATTGATTTGAATGTCACACCGTTAGGCGAGCCTACTGACTGCGCCACTTATATTTATTAAAGAAGTAAAAAATAGAATATAATTATCTAAAAATGTCTATAACTTATGATTAGTTATTTATTGAAAGTTCCCACAATTTTTCTACTACTAGACTTGAAATTAAAGTACTTACTCGAAAAAGAGCAAAGTGGGAAACCCCGTAATATTATATTGCGACCTAACGGCCGTATTCTCGGGTCTATTTACATCAATTGCAGCCAACACCGCATCATCTTTTAACTCTTTCGCCGCATCCGCGTACTCCGGTTTCAAAGTTTTGCAGAAACTACACCACGGAGCATAGAACATTATCAGAAGAGGTCGCGGTTCCTTTTTGATGAGTTTGAGTAACGTCTGAAAACATGAATGCATTATTCGCGATAGGAAATGGGACTAACATTTTTTTAATTTTTTGATCATGTCAATGACAGATTAAGTGACAAAAGTTGATTTTGAAATGTTATTCTTTAGATATAGGGTGTTCATATTACTCGTGATCACGATTTAATGCGTTTTTTTAATATCAAAGTGATTGGAAATTATTTATTGACAGTTAATCTTCATTTTTCCCTAATTCCTTAAAATTGACACCAAAAAAATCACCCCTAAGTATTTTAAAATGTAAAATGGATGAAAGAAAAAGTTACTAGATTTTGATGAGTCGTAGATTATTTACAATTTGTTAAAAATTTGTATATTTTGATATTTATAGTTCAAAAGTTTTGTGATCAATCAAAAACTTAAATTCCAAACGAAGTTCCCTGTTTTAAGAGATACAAATCGTATTGGAAAGAGGTACAATCAAATAGGTGCAGAGGTATTAAATATTTTGCAGAAAACTATCTATAGACACTTAATACACCAACAAATTTTGTGTAGAAAAAAAATTATAGAGAAGTTATTTTTATTTAAAGAATTTTTTCTCCAAACGTAAATAACAGATAAAATATCAAAATGACACCCTATAAAGTGCCTCGACTACGATAAATCGGTAAGTTTTCTAATGTCATTGGAAAAATCTAAATACTCTTTACATTTCTACCTATTTTTTAATTATAATTTCTGAAAATCACTTAAATTATTTGATATGTGTCTATTGATTCTTTTTATGTATCCTATACTTAGAACTGTCTACATAAGTTGACAATATAAAGCTTGAGTTTAAAATTTAATATTTTTTTCTTCTTCAAAATTCGAAATTTGCACTTTTTCTTAAATATCTCGAATACGGTCCATTTTAGAGAAATTAAGTATGGTACAAGAACTGTACAGAATTATATCACAAACAACTTTGATATAAACAATTTTCATAAAAATTTAAGTTTCTTACATTTTATCAAATTTCTCGAATACGGACCATTTTAGGAAAATTTTGTATATAACAAAAATTATAGAGAATCATATTAGAAGTAACTTTTATTTAAAGAATTTTCTTTTCCAAACGTAAATAACAGATATATTCCATAAAATATAAAAATGACCCCCTATAAAGTACCCCCCCAGATGTTCCGACTCTGTCCAAAATTTAATCATTTCACCTCAGGCCGGAATAAAGCTTAAATTTAAAATTTTATATTTTTCTCTTTACCCGTTTTTGAGTTTTCCTCAAAATTCAAGATTTATACTTTTTCTCAAATATCTCGAATACGGACCATTTTAGGAAAATTTTGTATAGAACAAAAATTATAGAGAATAATATTAGAAACAACTTTTATTTGAACAATTTTCTTCTCCAAACACTAATAACAGATATATTCCATAAAATATAAAAATTACCCCCCAGATGTTCCGACTCTGCCCAAAATCTAATCAGTTGAGGTCAAACTGTTTATGTTGACAGGACACATGTAAGGCCTTATCTTAGTTAACATTATAACAACGTGAATATAAAAATTCTCAATTAATTAACTAGAGGAACAAGGCCAAGTACAGTAAGCAGTGGCGGCTCGTGGAGTGGTTTACAGTGACAGAATATAGGTATCAGTACAGATGTATAAAAAAACTTTTAGTGTATAATATACATTTCTAAAACACTGATTCTATATTCTGCTACTGTGAACCCCCAAAATTTTGGGTCACGAGCCGCCCCTGACAGTGAGTATGAATTACTTTAAGGTAGTTATAAATATGTGCTTTTAAATAATTTAAAAATGACCATAGGGTGGGCAGTTCCAATATTAACCACAGATTATATTTATTAAACAAAATTACAATCTCTTTAAGATAAATGAAGTTGAACATATCTATAATACTAGATACACATCCCAAGATATACCTATATCCGAAAAAATGTAGAGTATCCTATTCTTCTGCACTAAAGATTTTAAATTTGAAATTTGTTGAGTATCTTTATTTTTGACAAACCTCGTATATGACTGATAAAATTTGATATCTAATGGTCGTATTTTAGGTTATAGACCATGCTCGACTTTTTATAAAGAATAACTTTTTTTTCTAATATTAATAATAAAAAAGTTACGTAGATATCTAGTTGTACCTTGAATTTGAATTTTGCTGAAAGGTAAAGTATCTTTATTTTTGACAAACCTCGTATACGACTGATAAAATTTGATATCTGATGGTTGTATTTTAGGTTTTAGACCATGCTCGACTTTTTATGAAGAATAACTTTTTTTTCTAATATTAATAATAAAAAAGTTACGTAGATATCTAGTTGTACCTTGAATTTGAATTTTGCTGAAATGTAAAGTATCTTTATTTTTGACAAACCTCGTATACGACTGATAAAATTTGATATCTGATGGTTGTATTTTAGATTTTAGACCATGCTCGACTTTTTATAAAGAATAACTTTTTTTTTTAATATTAATAATAAAAAAGTTACGTAGACATATAGTTGTAACTTAAATTTGATTTATGCTGAAGGGTTAAGTATCTTTATTTTTGACAAACCTCGTATACGACTGATAAAATTTGATATCTGATGGTTGTATTTTAGGTTTTAGACGATGCTTGACTTTTTATGAAGAATAACTTTTTTCCTAATATTAATAATAAGAAAGTTACGTAGACATCTAGTTGTACCTTGAATTTGAATTTTTCTGAAGAGTAAAGTATCTTTATTTTTGACAAACCTCGTATATGACTGATAAAATTTGATATCTGATGGTTGTATTTTAGGTTTTAGACCATGCTCGACTTTTTATGAAGAATAACTTTTTTCTAATATTAATAATAAAAAAGTTACGTAGATATCTAGTTGTACCTTGAATTTGAATTTTGCTGAAAGGTAAAGTATCTTTATTTTTGACAAACCTCGTATACGACTGATAAAATTTGATATCTGATGGTTGTATTTTAGATTTTAGACCATGCTTGACTTTTTATGAAGAATAACTTTTTTTTCTAATATTAATAATAAAAAAGTTACATAGACATATAGTTGTAACTTAAATTTGAATTATACTGAAGGGTTAAGTATCTTTATTTTTGACAAACCTCGTATACGACTGATAAAATTTGATATCTGATGGTTGTATTTTAGGTTTTAGACCATGCTCGACTTTTTATGAAGAATAACTTTTTTTTCTAATATTAATAATAAAAAAGTTACATAGACATATAGTTGTAACTTAAATTTGAATTATACTGAAGGGTTAAGTATCTTTATTTTTGACAAACCTCGTATACTACTGATAAAATTTGATATCTGATGGTTGTATTTTAGGTTTTAGACCATGCTTGACTTTTTATGAAGAATAACTTTTTTCCTAATATTAATAATAAGAAAGTTACGTAGACATCTAGTTGTACCTTGAATTTGAATTTTTCTGAAGAGTAAAGTATCTTTATTTTTGACAAACCTCGTATACGACTGATAAAATTTGATATCTGATGGTTGTATTTTAGGTTTTAGACCATGCTCGACTTTTTATGAAGAATAACTTTTTTTTCTAATATTAATAATAAAAAAGTTACATAGACATATAGTTGTAACTTAAATTTGAATTATACTGAAGGGTTAAGTATCTTTATTTTTGACAAACCTCGTATACGACTGATAAAATTTGATATCTAATGGTTGTATTTTAGGTTTTAGACCATGCTTGACTTTTTATGAAGAATAACTTTTTTCCTAATATTAATAATAAGAAAGTTACGTAGACATCTAGTTGTACCTTGAATTTGAATTTTTCTGAAGAGTAAAGTATCTTTATTTTTGACAAACCTCGTATACGACTGATAAAATTTGATATCTGATGGTTGTATTTTAGGTTTTAGACCATGCTCGACTTTTTATGAAGAATAACTTTTTTTTCTAATATTAATAATAAAAAAGTTACATAGACATATAGTTGTAACTTAAATTTGAATTATACTGAAGGGTTAAGTATCTTTATTTTTGACAAACCTCGTATACGACTGATAAAATTTGATATCTGATGGTTGTATTTTAGGTTTTAGACCATGCTCGACTTTTTATGAAGAATAACTTTTTTTTCTAATATTAATAATAAAAAAGTTACATAGACATATAGTTGTAACTTAAATTTGAATTATACTGAAGGGTTAAGTATCTTTATTTTTGACAAACCTCGTATACGACTGATAAAATTTGATATCTAATGGTCGTATTTTAGGTTATAGACCATGCTCGACTTTTTATGAAGAATAACTTTTTTCCTAATATTAATAATAAGAAAGTTACGTAGACATCTAGTTGTACCTTGAATTTGAATTTTTCTGAAGAGTAAAGTATCTTTATTTTTGACAAACCTCGTATATGACTGATAAAATTTGATATCTGATGGTTGTATTTTAGGTTTTAGACCATGCTCGACTTTTTATGAAGAATAACTTTTTTTCCTAATATTAATAATAAAAAAGTTATATAGACAATTATATCACAGGACATTAGGTAGTTATACCATATAATTTTTATAGAGGATTAATCCGCGAGGCTCCAAGCTGTACAGGTTAGGTAAATTCTGTTTTTTTTTTAATAAATTGTAATAAATAATGAAAAAAAAAAAGCTGTTTTTGTTGCTATTCCAACAATATTTCTTGCAGTCATAATTTTCTCTACATATTTTTGTTACCTATCAAAATATTTTGTTATAGATGTATTTTATCCTGCTCTATTATATACCAGCACTATTTTTTCAAAAACTACTTAATAGTGGAGCCAAAATACAAAAATATATGAAAAACAAAATATAATTAATAAAATTTCTTACATTGGAATCAGGTATGTGCACAACATCCACTGCTGAAGAATCTTCTTCCCACGGAATATCCCCAGTTGGATCGCGCATAAAATTCGTCATTGAACTAACAGTTAACTTCCTATCGTAAGCTTTATTGAAATCACCATCTTTGTAATGTTTTATGGTGAATGGATCACTTTCAGAAATTTTTAATTTCTTGCACATCTTTTTTGCACTCCTTGAAAATATTTACATAAATACATTTAAGAATATTAAGAATGTTCCTAATTCATTTAATAATTCGTTTAAAATCTTAGTTTAAATTGAAATACATTTAGAATGTATGAAATAAATCATAAAAGTCTGTAAAAAGAATGAAATTTCACTTAGTCCACTACACAGGATACAAAGGACTGAAATATTTTGTTTATGCAACTCATATATTTATGTAACTCACCCTGAACAGTCTACAATCACCATTGTACCCTCTCCTTTAATATTTTCAGTAACATCCCTAAAAAGTTTGATAACATGTTGAGATTCTTTAAATGAATTATAGAAACACGCTAAAATATTGGTTTTAGTCCTTAATAACTTTTTAAAATCTTTAATGTCAGCTATGTCTTCTGTGGTTGATTTCTTGTTTGATTTGGGTGTACATGGAGCTAAAGGGAATGAAATGAACTGAAAAGCAAACGTTTAAAATTATATACGCCGATTATATATGTATAAAACAAACTAAATTTATTATTATTCCATTCCACTATCAAAAAAATAACTTATTTTACTATATTGAAACTGGAAAATATTTATAACTACTATAAATTTAGCTAGAAATTTTATAATAAAATAAATCTTTCCTTACCAAAACACAAACAATAAAATATATTTTTTTCATGACACTGGTTGTAGGAACATTTGTAAAAAGACTATTATTTATAAATTACTTAAAAACTAAAATACACTATTCAATATAAGAAAACATTAAGATTGAGGTTATAAAAACCACTTGCTACGACGGTGACG